ATTCAATCAGAGCATGTAAGCAATGACTTCATGAAGCTAAATTGTAAGTAAAGGGGTGAAGTGATAGAACCAATAGCTTGACGAAGACAAGGAATTGGTAGACCAGTTCCAGCTGTTATGACAACTGTACGTCTGGTTAGGGAGGCTGAGATCTAACTCAGAAGACCACGTCTTCACCTTATTCCCCTTGAGCTAAGGTCACTTAGTCCTCACCCAATCACTCAGGTAAGTCTTCAAGGTAGACTTTCAAACCTTCACAGACTTTGTTCAACGGCGATCCACAATGACTCTTGTAGCCTCAGAACGCGACACCTAACCGACTGAAGATCATAGTCTTCAAGTGTAATAAGTCTTCTAATCACGCGGACAGAAAGACTTCAGTGATGCCAAATACTCTTTGGGCTCTGGGTGTTTTGGGTTTTGTCCTTGCAAGAATTCTCTCTCAAAGGCTTCAGAGGTGGGTTGCTCTCAAACGATAAAAGACGTGCACTAACTCTGAGCAGCCACCAATTTATGGTGGAAGGGGTGGCTATTTATAGCCAGGGGCAACCCGACATGATTTGTCTGAAATGACCCTTGGTCATTGGGGAACCGACATGTGTCCAACGGTCGGATTTCAAACACACGCGGCAACTTGACTTGGGCTCAGCTGACTTATCCAACTCAGGATAAGATTTTCTCTCATTGTCTTCACTCAAAGGCATATGATTTGGGTTGAGCATCACGTCAATTTTCTGACTTTGTTCACTTGAACCCCACTTGACAGTTTGGTGGTTCCTATGACTGAAGAAAGAAGAAAATAAAACTACAAAAGAAATTATGTCTTCGCACTCCATTGTCTTCAAGCGAATGTCTTCACACGTCATTATCTTCGTCGTGAATATCTTCGCCAACCACCAATGTCTTGAATGTCTTCATATATTTTTAGGGGTCATCTTCGATGGGTAAACCGAATCAATAGGGACTTCTACATGTGTTCTCCTGTGAATCTCGCAAACACATTAGTCCCTCAACCATGTTTGTCGTCAATACTCCAAAACCAACTAGGGGTGGTACTAGATGCACTTACAGCGCGCAAAGAAGTTGGTCACTGGGCACGTCAATCATGGAGATCGTAAGTTTTGCTTCTTGTTGCTTTACATGTTGGTCAGTTTATTGATTCTGTCAAGGTTGCAACTTGATGATCATCATGTTGTATAGCCTAGACACGCTACCGCATTGTACCAATCAATGGAGAGCAGGCCAATCATGTTGATGCATATGGATGAAGCTCAAGGTGCACACCGTCTGGATGGCGAACATTTGCAGATACAGATGCATATGAACTCGATTAACATTGCATTTGGATCGATAAATTTGAAAAACTTGTTGAACATCCATTTTATTTTAGATGTAGTATTTATATTTGAGCTATTGTTGTATTAGGATAATTGCATATTATTGAAGGATGAATAGTGCTAGTGCTATTACTTATTTTCAATGCTCCGGGCATAGGGAAAAAATAGAGGTGGGCGTTTGATGGACATGGTTGGAAGACGGCTCTTGTATCCGTTGTGAACACGTTCAGACACATCGGAGACGAATAATGTCATCCAACTTATGGGACGCCGTTGAAGATGCCCTTAGTTATTATGATAAGACTTTTTTAGCGTTGTAAATGCTATGACCATGTTATTACCAGTTCGATGAAACTACGTGATCGGTTGGCATAGCTTCATCAATCAATTGGCTAGCGTTTATGCTCCTTGACCCTGATGTTTCTGTTGCAACCTTAGTTTGAAGCCGTCACAATCAAATTTCGGATTCTAGCATCGATTTTGACTGAGTTCTCATCCTGGTAGGTCCCTATACTATGATCAACGCATGGGATTTTTGAGACCTTTATGGATGTGTGTGTCGCCTTTGTGGAGTTGCTCGGCTGGGGAGAGGGTGGACGTTAGGCAGTCGGCGACAGGGGTAGGGTGTGTGATGCGCTTCCTTGTTGTTACTGGTGCGACTAGAGGTTGGTGCATCGGTGTGAGGGTTTTCTATATAGGCGGCACTTCACCGGTGGCTTGGTTTGTTTTTTCTTGTTTCCCATACAAGCTTGGTGATAGTGATGGGTAGGAGTTTTGTGGGATTCAACATCAGCATGGTTGGTCGAATAAATAGCAAAAAAACTACCACGGTCGGTATTAAGGTTTCAAAAAATTACAGTACCACTTAAAAAATTGCTGATACATACCAGTTTTTTCTTAAAAAAGTTTAAACACTGATGCCAGATTATACAAAAAAAATTGATATGCTACCTACTTAATAAATCACTGATACATATACTGTTTTTTCCCTTCTAACTTTGTCTTAGGGAAAACACTGTTGACCCATTATTTAGACGAAAAAAGGATGGATGTGCATGTCGCCTTTGCGGAGTTGCTCGGCTGGGGAGATGATGGACGTTAGGCAGTCGGCGACAGGGGTAGGATGTGTGATGCGCTTCCTTGTTGTTACTGGTGCGACTAGAGGTTGGTGCATCGGTGTGAGGGTTTTCTATATGGGCGGCACTTCACCTGTGGCTTGGTTTGTTTTTTCTTGTTTCCCATACAAGCTTGGCTATAGTGATGGGTAGGAGTTTTGTGGGATTCAACATCAGCATGGTGTTTGGTCGAATAAATAGCAAAAAAACTACCACGGTCAGTGTTAAGGTTTCAAAAAATTACAGTACCACTTAAAAAATTGCTGATACATACCAGTTTTTTCTTAAAAAAGTTTAAACACTGATGCCAGATTATACAATTTTTTTTTGATATGCTACCTACTTAAAAAATCACTGATACATATACCGTTTTTTCCCTTCTAACTTTGTCTTAGGGAAAACACTGTTGACCCATTATTTAGACGAAAAAAGGATGGATGTGCATGTCGCCTTTGCGGAGTTGCTCGGCTGGGGAGAGGGTGGACGTTAGGCAATCGGCGACAGGGGTAGGGTGTGTGATGCGCTTCCTTGTTGTTACTGGTGCGACTAGAGGTTAGTGCATCGGTGTGAGGGTTTTCTATATGGGCGGCACTTCACCGGTGGCTTGGTTTGTTTTTTCTTGTTTCCCATACAAGCTTGGGGATAGTGATGGGTAGGAGTTTTGTGGGATTCAACATCAGCATGGTGTTTGGTCGAATAAATAGCAAAAAAACTACCACGGTCAGTGTTAAGGTTTCAAAAAATTACAGTATCACTTAAAAAATTGCTGATACATACCAGTTTTTTCTTAAAAAAGTTTAAACACTGATGCCAGATTATACAAAAAAATTGATATGCTACCTACTTAAAAAATCACTGATACATACCGTTTTTCCCTTCTAACTTTGTCTTAGGGAAAACACTGTTGACCGATTATTTAGACGAAAAAAGGATGGATGCATGTCGCCTTTGCGGAGTTGCTCGGCTGGGGAGAGGGTGGACGTTAGGCAGTCGGCGACAGGGGTAGGGTGTGTGATGCGCTTCCTTGTTGTTACTGGTGCGATTAGAGGTTGGTGCATCGGTGTGAGGGTTTTCTATATGGGCGGCACTTCACCGGTGGCTTGGTTTGTTTTTTCTTGTTTCCCATACAAGCTTGGGGATAGTGATGGGTAGGAGTTTTGTGGGATTCAACATCAGCATGGTGTTTGGTCGAATAAATAGCAAAAAAACTACCACGGTCGGTGTTAAGGTTTCAAAAAATTACAGTACCACTTAAAAAATTGCTGATACATATCAGTTTTTTCTTAAAAAAGTTTAAACACTGATGCCAGATTATACAAAAAAATTGATATGCTACCTACTTAAAAAATCACTCATACATACCGTTTTTCCTTTCTAACTTTGTCTTAGGGAAAACACTGTTGATCCATTATTTAAACGAAAAAAAGGATACATACCGTTTTTTCCCTTCTAACTTTGTCTTAGGGAAAACACTGTTGGGTAACTTTGTCTTAGGGAAAACACTGTTGACACATTATTTAGACGAAAAAAAGGATGGATGTGCGGTGAGCGTGGATCGAACACGCGACCTTCAGATCTTCAGTCTGACGCTCTCCCAACTGAGCTATCCCCGCTTTGTATTTTAAAATCGATTGTTTCTCTAAAAACTTATAATCACCGATCAGCATGGGCGTTGTGTTGCTCGTAACTGAGGTTTGGGCTCAAATTCTGTTAACCGTCCTTTGTCTTGAATGGTTTGGGCTCACACGGACGCTTCTCGTTGTGGCCCAACCCGGCACTAGTGTACAGGAGCAAAGCGAAGGGCAGGCATATCCTCGACTCTGAAGCCGGATTGAACAAATCTGTAGGTGCTCCAGGCTTTTATACGCTTGCCCATGTTAACAGGGATGCAAACATTGCAGCTGATAATGCTTTACTGCTAAGCATGCATCGATGGAACGTCCAGCCTGCTGCAGCAGCTGGAGCCGTCAGGTACCTGCGTTCCTTGCAAGTTGCATTCAGCATCACTCTAATCTACCTTCATCATCAATGTAAGCCAAGCACATTGATGTTCTAAATAAAAGCCCTGTGGTGTCACATAAAAGATCAAGGTATCAACCAAAGACCAGACAGATACTGTGCTGCCTTCAGACAATACAAACGGCAGGCATGCTCAGCGACAAGCATATCTCTCTGCCTCTGTACACTGGATACAGACTGGTCTGTTGTTAACCTTACTTAATTATTCCCGCCATTACAGATCGGCGTCTATGTAGCAGTATAATACAAAGGTCATGCAATATATATAACACTATGATCCATGATCACCTACAACAGCAGCAGTTCTAAGCACTAGGGCAACAAAAAACAAGGGAACCATGCCATGCCACAACATGGAAGGTAGGCAGGCACATCATCACAACAAAAAGAAGCAAGGTGGTATTAGACAGGAAGGAGCTTTACATTTGATGACAGTAATGGCTTGGCTTGGCTTGGCTTACTCATCAGTCCTCTCATTTCATTCTGACTGAACATCGTCAGCTCATGGTGCCAATGCCGCCGCCGCTACCTACCATGGCTTCAGGTCGCCCTTGGGGCCCTGGGTCCAGTTCAGCGCCTTCTGCCCCGGGGTCAGGTACACGCTCTTGCTGTGCGGGAGCTTCCGCGCCAGGCCGTTCAGGATCTGGTGGAAGGCGTCCCCGGGCTGGGCCGGCTGCGGGAAAAGCATGGCCTGCTTCATCGACGGGTTCGCCAGCAGCCTCTGCTTCCGTAGGATCACCTCCATCGGGATGGAGGTCAGGATGGTGTCAAGCTTGGGGACATCGTCCTCCGCCACGAACACGCCGATCTCGTCCCACGGGATGGCGTCCGCGAAGGGCAGGACAATGTCGTCCGCGATGATCACCGGGATGCACCCGAACACCACGGCCTCAACGAGACGGGGGCTCCACGGGGCCCAGCCCAGCGGGCACAGGCAGAAGATGGCACGCTGCATGTCCTCATAGTAGGTGGGTGGGTGGTCCGTCGAGATGTCGAACAGAGGGTTGTTCTTGAAGTTCTCCCACACCGACGCACGGGCGCCTCTGCATTGCATACATAGAAGGTACGTCAAGACTTTTGTGCCCCAATAATTCATTAAGAATGATGATTATGACTTATGAGGAGTACCACATGTTTCAGATGTGCATACCTTGCATAGTAACCACCCTCGGGATCATTTGCCGTATCGTAGAACAAACCACGGAAATAGACAAAGATGGAGCGCGGGGTCTCTGGGGGTACAAGGTGAGTTTTCATTTTCTGGGGAGGAGCATATGGTGGGATGTTGATTGAGCCCTCCTTTAGGCAGACATGATCCTTCTGCCCAAATGTCTGGACAAGTGTAGCGCGGCGAAGCAATGGAAGGATCCCCCTTTCGATCGCCTTCTCTTCCTGAACCATGGCAATGCAAAATGCATGTCAGAGAAAGATTCTACTAGAACAGAGCATGCAGTTTGTTTCCAAATATCTAAGATAAATAGGTTACATAAGTGAATGAACAGTCATCAAAGTCCGTGGTAGTACAAGTGTGCAAAGCGTGTGTATAAGTGTGCAAAGTACATCCATTCCATGTTTCAGTGGTACTCCCTCCGTAAACTAATATAAGAGCGTTTAGATCACTATTTTAGTTATCTATAAACACTCTTATATTAGTTTACACAGGGAGTAATATGTAAGTTGGAAGATTCAGGTTTCCCATCTGTGCTCTATGACTCACCTGATAATGGAAGCATGCCCCAAAGTCATGTGGCACGACGAAGAAATGATCAGCACCGGCCGTCCGGTTCCAATAGGGCCAGTGCGAGGAGATGAACTGAACCGCACTCCTCATGATCCGCGGGGATTTGAAGGGCAACGGATGACCCCATGGAGTAAGGTCACAGGTCGTGTACACCGGGGTGTAGAACCAGTCGGCCTCCTCCGGGTTCATCGTCCGGATCGCGCTCGACAGCAGGAACCGGTGCATGAATATCTCGGCGGCAAACATGTGGCTGAGGCACCTGGAGTCCTTGGCCACCATCTTCTTGTTGTACTTGGTGGGCAGCTCGTAGACGTACACCTTCAGCCTCCCGACGGGATCATCCTCCAGAACATCACCAGCACTCCCTGAATTTCCATGATAAACATGATGAGAATCAAGTAGTGCCGCAGCACAATCATCATAGCTAAAATTACAGAGCTATGGAACAGCTTGAGTGGGCTGTTGGTAGAGTACATGGCAACGCAACAGACAATTTAGACTCCCAGTCCAGAATCACAGGGAGGTTTAATAATACAGTAATGTCTAAAGTTCGGTGATTGAGGTAGGCGCCCATGCTTATCTACAAAGTCAGACATGCTCTCCCTGGCCTGTCGGTGACCAAAAGTCGGAACATGCCGCGCGGAATAAAATCCTATCGCGGCGAGATCTCGGGACGAACAGCTGATGTGCTGGCCATCACGTCCCGAATTGGTCCAGCGGCCGCAGATCTCATGCCGCCGGCCTTCTTCCCCGGCCTCAACCGGCAGGATTCGGTCCAAAAGCAGCGCCCCCCAAATCAGATCCCAGGCACCGCGGGAACGCACACGGGACCGCGGATTTCTGGGGATCAATCGAGCTCGGTGGCACAAGCATTGCGGCACGGCAGCAGGAAGAAGAACAGTAATAAAGACTAACTACCAGAGCATCAAAGGCTGGAAAGGAAAAGGGAGCATTTTTATGCTCTCTCCAGCTGAATCGCGCATAGGAGAAAGAAAGGCACACACCTTCGATCCTCTCGGTGTCCTGGCCCCTGACGACGACGCCGGAGCAGGAGAGGAGCAGCGCGAGCGCGGCCGCGAGGGCCACCATCGCCCGCGGCTTCCCCATCGCCGCCGCCCGCCCACAGCTCCCCGTGCGCTCCCCTACTCAGCAGCAAAAATACACAGGCAGAGGGTGGGGAGGAGGAGGGAGGCGGGCGAATCTGCTGCCGCGCGTTGGCGAGCAGGGGAGGGAGGGGGCCGGGGGGGAGTCGGAGAGGAGAGGGGAGGGGCGTCGGGTGATAATAATGCGGAGGAGCGAGCGGGGCGGAGGGTGGTGGTGGTGGGAGCCGGCTCGGCCCTCGGTGTCAATGATGAGCTAGCTGTCGGCGGAGCAGGTTGGTGGGACGCTCACCTCAAGTCCTCTCAGGACACACGCGCGCGCGCGCAGTAAATCCAGCGCCACCGTATCTGTAAATGCTACGCGTACCACGGCCCACGTATTTAGGGATGATGAGGATTTATTAGCCAAGCCCAGCACGTTACTAGTGGCGTGCACGTAGTGATTCGACAGGTAAAATGGTACTACTACTATTTTCATTTTAGAAAACGCCCGACTCTAATGATCAAACCAACAGTACACATATATATATACTCTTATAACAAAACTAGCAGTACATGTAGATATATAGACCTAAAAAGGAGAGGTCGATAATGATCAAGGCCACGTTTATGCCGGACCAACGCCCTGAAGAATAATTTGTTGAAGTTGTGGCCGCCGAAAGTTTTTTGTTTTTGGCGAAAACGCCGAAAGATTCATACATCCAATATCCCAATAACCTCTAAAAGAAGCTCCGCTGAAGGTGACACCAATGTAACGAAGTGGGATACTGCAAAGGAAAGTCGCCACTATCACCATACTAACAAAACCCTAACTGTATCGTCAAGAGGTCAGCGTGAATCTACACCAACGAGTCATCGATGCCGCCGCGGCTGACATCATCATAAGTCATATTTTGTTCTCAAACCAGTGCTTCCTGAGATCTCGCCGACCCATCTCTCTCGGCACACGCCGAGGATAGGAGAAGCAATATCTCCGCTCATTCGCCGTTGCGCCGGAGCGATGATAAGGATTCCGAGGAGTGTAACTGCGGCGGTGCCCCTTTGACAAGCAAACGCCATCGAGACTACAACGAGCCAAACACTGCAACCACCGTTCACCTACATCAATCGATCAATGTAAACGAGGGAATTTACGCGATTCGAACGTGGTGTTTTTGCTTGCTGCAAAATTAGTTTCGCATCACTGGTTCACTACAAACTGTGGCGCTTATTTAAATCTCAAGAGTAACATATCTCCTTTCTTTTTATATTCCTACAGTAGGCAATGCGAGAGTCGTGTGAACGGCCGCTCAGTTAGTTGATTAAGCGCGCAGAGGAGGCGAAAGTTAGGCTTTTGCTGGCAGACGGAGACGATGGATGAATCAATCATGCCCGGGAGACGCGGCCGGACGGAGGGAGTACTATTTAAGAGAGAAGAAGCCTGTCCACCTTTCCATCCGTCGGTGGCCATGCATACTTGCCGCACAATCAATCCAACGCCGTGCCGCCTGTCCTCCTCCTTTGACTTCACCTGTCGTCTCCTTCCCGAGCCTGCTGCTCGCTCGTCGCCGTCGTCGGCTGGTGTTGCTCGTGTTCGGCAGGGGTACCTGGTTAGGTAGCAGTACATATACGTAGTAGACTACACGCAGGGGAGTAGGTCGTCGTCGGTGGTAAGAAGACACGTCTTCTTCCCTCTGCGTGTGTTCACAGACTGACAGTTGACGATTTAAACTGGACATGTTTGGTCCCTGGCCTGATAGATACTCTTAAACAGAGGTAGGTTGGGTCGCCCGCCGTCGGTCAAGATTTCAAACAAATTTACACAACACACAAAATCTTCAAAAAATCGGCAAGGAATTCATATTAAGAAATAGGAAACCACGGAAACATGATCCGAATTACGGAAATACGTTTAAAATCCAAAAACACTGAACATTCATTTAGACAAAAAAGAGACATGTTACAAACACTTGTCCTGGTTGCGTTATTGTTATTTTTTCAATTCTCTGACATCCCCATACTCTTGTCTCTTGTCAAGAGTAACTATCATGATTAAACACCATTCTTATTCGTTCCCATCTAGAATGCTTATCATGATTTAACAAGCATTCTTATTCCTCTTCCCTCTCCTATTATCTGCTTCTTCCACAAATATCCTGGTTGGTGACACTACGTGTGCAAAACCACTGCCACATCATGTCATCATCCACCAAACATTTCCAAGCCAGCAAAGAGACCAAAGCTGTGTGGTTTATCAAGTTGACAAGTCATGTCCTATAGGAAGTATAGTATTAAAGTTGGGTCATCAAAAGTATCGTTGGACAAAAAAGGCCTAAGAGAAGAAATACACGAGAATACAATATATACACACACAACAGAGCAATTTTTACAAAACTAGTTTCGCTAGAAAAATATATATATATGGGAGAACCTCTTTTTCCCTTTATAAAGGAAGGCCTAAGGCTGGTCATAGTGGGAGTAACATAGGTAGTAATATAGATGCCACATAAGCAAAATTGGTGATGTGGCAAGTAGTTAATGAGGAGAGACGCAAATAGAGTAACATAATATGTAACCATCACATAGCGGTTTCCAATGCATAATGAGTCTACAAAGTAATAAATGAAGGCAACTATGTTACCACACATATGACACTACCCACTATGAAGGTAGTAACATAGACTAGTAACATATGTATGTTACTAGTCTAAGTTACTCTCCACTATGACCAGCCTAACAAAAGTGAGCCATGGCACAAAAGTCATGACATCGACTCTCATTTTTCATAGGAGCCAACAAACATCTGTTGGCCAATTCGGTCACATGTCCGAGCTATTCTTTTTTGCTTGATGGATCAGCAACACTTGGACAGAGACTGCAACTAGCTAGATGCCTAATTATACATTACTCCAAGTGTCAAATCACTTTTCCTAAGACAGGCTACCAGATGAAATCACCTTTAATAAGCAGGGCTGCAGGTGGAGGGAGCTCTTTTACGGTACAGTACCCAGCACCTGTGTTAGTTGGCATCTACTGCTCCCAATTGCGATTATATGTCAGGATCAGGCCTAAGATTTTTTTTCTTCTTCAAAAAGATGTAATCTATTCCCCTCTGTTCTGGTCTCGGGAAGTGACAAAATTAAGCTAATGGGAGGCCCAGTCGCCACTCTATCAGGGTGATATTTGCACCGGCTGTCAAAGTTGGTGGACTAAAGTGACCGGCTATCTCGAAAAGCGACCAGTTTATAGCAAGGCTCAGAGTAATCAGGATTTTCATACAAGTAGAGGTGTAACTTGAACATTTCCCCTTTTTATAAGGAGGAAGGTCCAACACAAAGGCCTGACGTGGAATCCAATTCTCAGAAGAGCCAACAAACATCGGTTGGCTAATCCAGTAACATGTCTGAACATTATTCCTTGAGAAATCAGCAACAGTATTTATACAAAGACTGCAGCTACATGCCTGGATTGTTACTTCAAATCTCCAATCAAATTACCAGACAGGCTCCCAGATGAGATGGGCGATGGCGTTACTTATAACAGCAGTTCACCTCTTCTCTACTGTTTCTGGGGAACACAAAAGGGGGCAATAGAAACATCAGTCAGGTCATGCACCACAGGCCCAGAACATAACTGACAGGGTATAAGCAGGTTTGACAATCAGGAAACGCGAGCCTGTCTAGAGACAACAATGGACAAACAATCCACAGGATTAAAATCTTGTAATTTCCATTATGACATCCACATACAACGGACAAAGCGCACAATGGCTGTCATTTCATCCTCTAATGAAGAACAAGAAAAGAGATTGAGTTATGAGGTATAATAAGCGCACAAAGTACACTAAGTTGTATTATTATTTTTAAAAGGACAGCTCTAAGGTTCGAGAGAAGCTACCAAGGCTTTAGTTCACCCACCGGGCCAGCAGTCCAGTTCAGGAGGGTCTGCCCGGGCTTCGGGGTAGTCGGGGAGGATTTGGGCAGCCTACATGGCGATTTGAATTTTGAACTGAGATTGGTAGGATAGTTTATTTCATTCCAACCTTAACAATGAAGGTAATGGAAAAGAACACAACAACCAAATGGACAGACAATTAAATGAAATGAGGCAGCAAATTCTGGAGAAATAGACTAAATTTGATCTGTTAGTCTGTAACACAAATTCCGAGTATCTCATGGTCCAACAGCTATGAATAGAGCCACCACCCATGAGACCTTTTTGGCCTATGTTTTCTTCCATTTAAACATCCCTCCGGTCCCTTTAACTCCGCGTATAAGATTTGTGTCAAGTCAAACTTTGTAAAGTTTGACCAAATTTATATTAGAAAATATCAACATCTACAATATCAAATACATATAATATGAAACTACATTCCATAATGAATCTAATGATATTGATTTCGTATTATGAATTGTTGATATTTATCTCTATATAAGTTTGGTCAAATTAGAGATACTGTGACTTCAGGCAAACTTATATGCAGACTAAAAAGGACCGGAGGGACAAATTAAGGCTTCCTTGGAATTCTATTACTATACGATTCTCAAGAGCACGTAAATATAGCATGCCTAGGGGACGACAGCATTTTCCAACAAATAGCATAGAAGTATAGAACATGCTCCTGTCACGAGAAGCACAGAAACATATATGTATGAAATATTTCTCTGACAAAGCATTTTGCAAGACAGTAAAAGACTGAAGACGAAGAATTTTCACAGCATAGGTACATTACCAAATGATGGCACATGTGTCATATGCGACCGACATAAAGAAGAAAAACATCTGCATAATCACCATGTTCAGCAGTGTACCAGGTCACACAGCCAGCAACAAACATTTAATCATCTCGTTTCGTATCCCAATCCTTCATCTTCTTACTTCCCTTTGGTTTAGCAATAGGTGCATTCATGCCCGCCATTTTTGCATTATATTTTGTTCGCAGCGGCCCGTTTGTAGCCCATCTGCAATTCAACAAGAAATAAGTAAGGGCCAGACTTCCTTGTTATAAGATTGGAATGACTGCCCTTTACCAAAAACAAACTAATTGATAAATATCATCCACAAGGCTAGAATAACAAAGAGGGGGACAAATCAGGCATGCCAATAGAAGAACTAGAGAGAGGGGCTATTAGTATTCTGCTGAAAAGCATACACAGAGTGCCTTCTATGTAGGCTAGTATATTGTCTGGACCAAGTAGTGGATAGATGGCACATGTTCTACTAATAATAAGCAATAGGACGATAACTAAAAAACCACCTGAACATTTTTCAGGTATAAAGCAGTAATGCCATAAGAATGAGTACATACGGTGCATCCCAGTCGGTAGTGTCCTCATTAACAAGATGTGTCCACTTTGTTCTGCCACTCCGCCCGAAATGCTTGACTTGCATGACCTTAGGCAAGATGCTCTTGTCCATCTTATCTTCACCGGTGGGCGCAGAGAAATCACGGGTGTATATAGCATCTCTACCAGCTGACTGGCTCACGTCATCACCGCCTTCCTGGAAGAAGGCACCCTTGTGGTAGTACTTCTGCATAAAGTTCCACTTCTGTTTGGACTTCTGGAGAGAAGGTTTGGGGTTCTTCTTCTCCCATTCCCGGCGCTCCTCCTCAGTCATATTCCTCACCTTGTCAATCTCTTCCTTCTCCTTCAACCGTGCATACCTTTCCTCCCTGTCCCTCTTAATCCGCGCCATCTCACGATTCTTCCATGACTCGTACTCCTCAGCTTCGTTCTGCTCATCATCCGTGTCGACATCCTCGACGCTAGCATCCTCGTTGAGCGCCTTCTGAATGTGCTCATCCTTCCTAATCTCCTCCACCACAATCTGCCTGGTCTCGATCTTCCTAGCCTCGAGCCTCTTCCTGATGGTCTCCTCCACCTGCCGCTCCTCCTCCTCCAGCCGCTCGCGCTCGGCGATGGTGTCCCGCTGCGCCTTGGGGATGAAGACGGGCTTCACCATGGCCATGCCCATCTGCTCATCCTCCGAGTCGGTCTCGTACTCGGACTCCTCCGACTCCTGCACGTCATCCTCGAGCGGCTCCTCCTCCTGCGGGAGCAGCTCCTCCTCCTCCTGCGCCCTGAGGCGCTGCCGCTCCTTGATCCTCCGCCGCCGCTCCTCCTGCGCGTCCTCGTCGTCCTCCTCCTCCACCTGGGCCTCTTGCCTGTCCCGCTCCTCCTCAGCGGTGGACACGATCTCAGCCTGCCGGATGCGGCGGTGGTCGGCCCGGAGCTCCTCCTTGTTCTCCGCGCGCGTCTCCGCGAGCCGCCGGAGCCGCCGGTCGTCCTTGGGGGGCCGGTCCCGGTCCCGGTCCCCTTCCTCGGCCTTGGGGAAGGCCTCGTCGAGGGAGACCCTGGCCGCCCGGAGGTCGATGTCGTCCTCGGCCTCATCGGCCCACTCGGGCTTCTTCCCGGGCCAGTAGCGCTTCACCTTGGTCTGGCCGATCTTGCCCCGGAGCTTGTCGCGCACCGCGATGGCCGCATCGCTGACCCCCGCCGCCACGGACATGGCGCTCGCGCTCCGCCGCTGGACGTGGACGGGCGACGGACGGCTTGTGGCGGTGATGGGGAGGGGGGAGCACCGGAGCAGGAGGTGCCTAACCCTAATAAAGCGAAGACAAATCCGAGTAGGCTAGGGTTTGATTGCCCATGAAAGGAAAGAAGCGCGTCTGATATGGATCCGGTGGAGGGGAGGGGAGGGGAAGGAAGGGCGGTGCTTTGGTGGGGGGTGGGAGGGGGCAGAGGCGGTGGAGGTTCCGGCGGCGCCGCCAGAGGAGGTCGAGCCTTCCGGAACGGGGATGAGATCAGGGAAGCCGGGGGCGCCTGCGCCTGAGGCCTGAGGTGAGGAGCTTGGAGGGCCGCCTGAGGATAGAAAAGGGCCCTGAGCCCGGGTACACCGCCTACAGCCAGACGAAGCGGGCCACCTTCCCGTGGCCCACCGCTGGGCCTTCTCTCGGCCCAGCTACTTTACAATCGAAAATCAAACACTTTTGAATTCCCTACAAAAACCAAGCAGCTTTAAAACGCCATCCAAACTACAAACGGAGAAAACCTATCTGACTGATGTTCACTGCATCAAGTTGCTGGAAAAAACGCCATCCACAAAGTATACCTAGTTTGAAATGTTTATTAAAAAAAATGACCCTAGCATTTCTTAAGGCCCAAGAGATGCTAGGTCACCCACCAGGCCAGTAGTCCAGCTCAGGAGGGTCTGCCCGGGCGTCAAAAGACAGTTTTGCGTCCAGAAAAAAAAACACATTTTTGCCATATGCGCGTCAAAAGATAGTTTTGCATCTCCAGCTTGAGCACAAAAGAGGAACAGATCTTGGGAGAAAAACTAGCGCATCCCGGCCCCCGCGCCGCTCCTTCCCCGGGGCGACACGGGCGGCGCCCCCCTGTCCCCCGCAGCCTCCCCCTCTCCCTGACTCTCTCTTCCTCGCGCGTCGCCGGTGGCCTCCGGCAGGCAAAGCCTGTGCGGAGCCGGCGGCGGCGGGGCGCGCTCTCTGGCTGCTGTCGCTCGGGAGAAGGGGATCTCGCGGGCGATAGGCAGCTGTCCGGCGCTCGGCCTCGGGGCGGCGTCCTGGCGCGCGGCGGAGGTGGTCTTCGGCGCACGGCGAGGCGTTTGGTCGTGGCGGTGGGCGCGCGG